TGATGATGATGAAGGGGAGGATGATGATGTTGATGATGATGATGATGATGATGATGATGATGATGATGATGATGATGATGATGTTGATGGTCATGATGCTGATCATGATTATGATGCTGATGACGACGATGCTGCTGATGATGATGCTGATGCTGATGCTGATGCGGATGATGATGCTGAGGATGCTGATGATGATGATGAGAAATATAAGAACGATGATGAGAAGCTCGCTCGTCTTGCGGCGCCGTTGAATCCCCAGTTCCTCTTCACCAACGCTATCGCGGATGCTCTGGCTACGGCGCGGCCTTCGTGCGCCCAATTGAATTCTTGGCCGATGTTGTTCGCGAGGTGGTTGAATCTGAGAACCTAACTTGCCGCATGTTGAAACTCGATGCTTCCATCAGTTTGGAACGCGCCAGTCGGCCCAAACATCCGGAATGCAGGGTGCATCGCATCCAGGTCCCGCCAGCGGTACACAGGCGCAGGCATGTTATCGCACCCCTCTGTGCTTCCAACCATCATTTCGTTCCAATGGCCAGGGACACTGCCTTTACGTCGGGTCTGTCCCTCTACAGGAGGAGTATTCAAAAATAGTAAAAGATAAGTCTGGGGACTACTTCTTCTATGTTCCAGCACTTTGGGGAGTATTTTGTGAGCATTTCTAATCTTTCGCCCCAGATCCCCCTGTAGGGGGACACGCCCGACCTAACTCTGCCTGCAGCAAGCTGGTCCGACCTGCCGCCCGCGCCCTGCTCCGCGCGGCGCGCTCCCACCGGTGCGGCGCGCACCGGGGCCGTGCCTCCCGCGACGGGGCGCTCGAAGCGGGCCAGAGGACGATGGCGGGAGCTGGGCTCGCAGGTCGGCAAAGCACACACCGATGTTGACCTATGGCGTGCACAATGTTGATGGGGGCCAAGATCCTCTCATTCCTGATTGTTGTGCTGTCCTGGGCCTCTCCCTGGTCACTGGGGGACCAGGAGCAGTTCGAGACGAGCAGGATCAGAAATGAGCACGATCAGAAACGAACGACGTGTAGGGGAAGACGGGAGATGAGCTCGCAGGTCGGCAAAGCACGCATCGATGTTGATCTTTGGCGTAGACCTGAACTGACTGACCCCCCTCGCCGCCTCCCTCCCCTAGTCTTCGCTCACGGGCACGGGGTGCATGACAGCCGCGCCCTTCGGAGCAAAGGCCGCTCTGCCTTTTGCGCGCTCTGCGGATGCTGGGCCGAATTGAAGCCCCGTGACTTATCCATGGTGTGCCAAGTTGCCCTGCGTGGCCCAGCAGCCCTGTCTGCCCTGCGTGGCACAGCAGCCCTGCGTCAAGGGAAGCCCCCTAAGAAGATATGCCTCGATTTGGGGTGCACCGGCGAGGTCCTCTTATTTTTATATTTGTCTCCCCGCTGGGCAATTTCTTTGGCAATTCCCCAATCAGAGCTTGCCCTCTGTAGGGGTCCTAACGGATTCATATGGTCAGGTGAGGTTTGCCACCGATTTCCGCAGCCCACCCGGGTGCCCGGGTGCCTGGGTGCCTTATAGCCCGATGGCCTTATAGCCCTATAGCCCTACAGCCTTATAGCCTTATAGCCCTATAGCCCCATAACCCAATAGCCCTATAGCCCTATAGCCCAATAGCCCTATAGCCCTAGAGGCTCATAGCCCTATAGCCCCATAACCCAACAGCCCTAGAGCCCTATAGCTCTATAGCCCTGTAGCCCTATAGGCTCATAGCCCTATAGCCCTATAGCCCCATAGCCCTATAGCCCTATAACCCTATAGCCCGATAGTCCTATAGCCCTATAGTTCAATAGTCCCATAGCCCCATAGCTCTATAGCGCTATAGCTCTTTATTTATCGCCCTATAGCCTTATAGCCCTACAGCCCTATCACCCTATAGCCGTAAAGCCCTATAGCTCTATATGCCTATAGCCCTATAGCCCTCTGGCCCCATAGCCCTATATCCATACAGCCCTATAGCCCCATGGTCTTATAACCCTATAGCCCCATAGCCCTATAGGCTCATAGCCCTATGGCCCAATAGCCGTACAGCCCCTGAGCCCCAGAGCCCCAGAGCCTAGCCCCACAGCCCTATAGCCCTACAACCCTATGCTCCCTATAGCCCTATAGCCATATGGCCCTATAGCCCTATAGCTCCATAGCCCTATAGCCCCATCGCTCTACAGCCCAATAGCCCCTTAGCCTAATAATCCTAAAAAGACATTGATTCGTTTTTTTCTCCGGTCTCATTTATCATTTTTCTCCCCGCTGGACAATTTCTTCGGCACCTTGACTGGCAGCGGCCCGCAGCAAAAGCTCCCTCCCTCCTCCTTCTCCTCCTCCTCCTCCGACTCCGACTCCGACTCCTCCCCCCCTCCCCCCTCCTCCCTCCTCCCTCCTCCCTCCTCCCTCCTCCCTTCTCCTCCTCCTCCTTCTCCTCCTCCTCCTTCTCCTCCTCCTCCTCCTCCTCCTCCTCCTCCTCCTCGTCCTCCTCCTCCCCGCGGCGGCACCGCCGTCGGCCGCATCCGCAGGCCCCCCGGGCCTGAGCCCGCGACTGCCGTCCGGAGCGGCGTGCCCTGGGGGCATCAACTACGTCCCGCCGCCCGCCAAGGCAGCCTCAGGCCCCGCGCCCGCTGATCTTTTTCGCTCCTCCCCCAGAGGAGGAGGAGGAGGAGGAGGAGGAGGAGGAGGAGGAGGAGGATGACGAGGAGGAGGAGGAGAGGAGGAGGAGGAGGGAGGAGGACAGTGAGGAGCAGGAGGATGACGAGCAGGAGGAGGAGCAGGAGGAGGAGCAGGAGGAGCAGAGGAGCAGGAGGAGGAGGAGGGATAGGTGCGGATGGAGGAGGGGCAGTCAGGAGGAGGAGCAGAGGCGTGCCTTACTGCTCTTCAGTGTCCCTGCGCGTGCGTGCGTGCGTGCGTGCGTGTCTGCGAGTGTGTGGCATTCATGCGTGCGGGGCATGTAGACGCGTGTCTCGTGGCAACGTGTCCGCGCATAGTTTTGCGCGTGTGGTCACCCGTACCCAGGAGAGGAGGAGGAGGAGGAGGAAGGAGGAGGAGGAGGAGGAGGAGGAAGGAGGAGGAGGAGGAGGAGAAAACGAACGAGGAGGAAAGAGAGGGAGGAGGGAGGCAGGGAGAAGGAGGAGGGAGGAGGAGGAGGAGAGGATGGGAGGAGGAGGAGCAGGAGGAGTCGGAGTAGGAGGAGGAGGAGGAGGAGGAGGAGGAGGAGGAGGAGGAGCAGGAGGATGATGATGATGAGGAGGAGGAGGAGGAGGAGGAGGACTCCTCTTCCCGTCTCCTACTTCACCCCCTCGCGTTCTCTGAGATTTTCTCGCCTCGATAAGCTCTCTGTCAGCTGCGCCTCGTCAAGAGCGTTCCGGGGGGCGCCGGGACCGTTCCGATCGGCCGCGGGAGGCCCCAGTTATGGCCCGAAAAGAAGTATCTTCGCGTCGCGACAACAAAAATGGGGACCCAAATAATATACACCACCACCACGTCGATTCCTCCTCTCTCCTCTACCCTCCTCTTCCTTTCCTCTTTCCTGGGAGAGGGAGGGGGTGAGGGAGGTGGTGGTGGTGTATACGTATCTTTGGGCCCCCCCAAAAACACGACTGAAGATTTCTGTTTTTGTTTGGCCTCTGAGGGCCCTCGCTTGGCCCCAGGAGCGTGAAAGAAGGGGAGGAAAAAAGCCAGTCCTGGGGAGGGGGTCGGAGCCCCTGGGGACCCCGTGCGTGCTGAAAGAAGCAGGGCGTCGCATGTCTGGTGATGTT